AACTTGAGATTTCTGTAGCAACCACTAATTTTGAGTACCAGCCGCATTTAAAATGTATGTTTAAAATGTATGTTATATATTAGACTAGACCTCTTCGACTATTTATCAAGCAAATAATGTCGATGGTGACTGTTTAGGTCCAGAGATAAAATTTTGATGAAAGAGTTCCTAGAAATGGTTATGATTGTTTATGGACTTGAGAACAAAAAAGCAATCTATGAATTAATTATACAAGCGTTCGTCAGAGAACATTCATTTTTTAGGGCTCATAACGATAATGCAATAATTAACATGCTTTCACAATACTAATATTTAATGATATTTAATAGTGTTCTGTTCTTTAGTTTATTGAAAAAAAGATTTAAATTTTACACAAAAAAACAAAAAAAAAAACAAAATTAGATAACAGAATATACAGAAAAATAAATATTATCCGCAAATATACCGTTCACAAATAAAAACTGAAGAGTTATAATATCTATAATAATAAGCAATAATAAAATAATTTATATAAGTTCACAGGAATTTTCATAACCTGTGAAAAGGTATAATGAGAAATAATGAGGTTATGTGTATATAAAGATATGGTAAATAATATATCTTCAATAACCATAGCCGCTACCATAGCTACTACTATAGCTATAATCGCTACTATAGTCAGTACCATACCCACTACCATAGTCGCTACTATAGTCGGAACTTTTACCATAGTCTGAACTCTTGCTATAGTCTGAACTCTTGCTATAGTCTGAACTCTTGCTATAGTCTGAACTCTTGCTATAGTCTGTACTCTTGCTATAGTCTGTACTCTTGCTATAGTCTGTACTCTTGCTATAACTTTTATCATCATATGAATAAGAATATGTAGAGTCGCGCTTAAAATATCTAGCTTCCGGATCACGCTTGTGATGTTTATAATAGAGGTATTTATCGTCATCAGCATCAGATTCAGCTATGGCTTCCGGATTACGCTTGTAATATTTATGTTTTTCAACATAGTAGGGTTCTTTTTTGGCTTCAGCTTCAGCAATGGCTTCCGGGTCACGTTTGTAATATTTTTTGTATTTCGGACCTGCTTCGGCATCGGATTTAGCATCGGCTTCCGGGTCACGTTTGTAACTTTTATGTTTACTATGTTTCGATTTATAATAAGAGCCATAATTATAATCGTAAGCAGCAGCATCGGATTCAGCATAGGCTTCCGGATTACGTTTGTAATATTTTTTGTATTTCGGATCTGCTTCGGCATCGGATTCAGCATAGGCTTCCGGGTCACGTTTGTAATATTTATGTTTATATTTAGGATCTGCTTCGGCATCGGCTTCCGGGTCACGTTTGGAATTTTTATATGTATGTTTATAATTATATGCTTCGGCATCGGATTCAGCATCGGCTTCTGGGTCACGTTTATAATATTTATGTTTATATTTAGGATCTGCTTCGGCATCTGGTTCGGCTATGGCTTCCGGGT